GGCCGGGGCCCGGGGAGGGGGCGGCGGGGCGGGGGGCCTGGCCCGGCCCGGCCTCGGCTCCCCGCGGCCCCGCCATGGGCGTAGACTTCGACGTGAAGACCTTCTGCCACAACCTGCGGGCCACCAAGCCGCCGTACGAGTGCCCGGTGGGCACCTGCCGCAAGATCTACAAGAGCTACAGCGGGATCGAGTACCACCTGTACCATTATGACCACGACAACCCGCCCCCGCCCCAGCACACCCCCCTGCGCAAGCACAAGAAGAAGGGGCGCCAGGCCCGCGCCGCCAACAAGCAGTCGCCCAGCCCCTCCGAGACGTCCCAGTCGCCCGGCCGAGAGGTGATGACCTACGCCCAGGCCCAGCGCATGGTGGAGGTGGACCTGCATGGCCGCGTCCACCGCATCAGCATCTTCGATAATCTCGACGTGGTGTCCGAGGACGAGGATGTTCCCGAGGAGGTGCCCGAGAATGGGAGCAATAAGGAGAACACGGAGACGCAGAGCGTCCCACCTAAATCTGGGAAGCACAAGAACAAGGAGAAGCGCAAGGACTCCAACCACCATCACCACAATGCTTCGGCCAGCACTACCCCCAAGCTGCCCGAGGTGGTGTACCGAGAGCTGGAGCAGGATACCCCTGATGCCCCGCCTCGTCCCACCTCGTACTACAGGTATTGTTTGTGACTGGGGGCAAGGAGACTCCCAGGCTCATGCCCTGGGTCTGGAGGTGGAATTGGCCTCTCTTTATTCAAGTGGCTTGCCCCCAGTTCCTGGAAGTGGCCTCTCTCTGTCTCTCCCAGATCCCACAGAGGTAGCTGTCCCATGGCTTCAGGCTCCTGGGGYTCTGCCAGGTGTCACATCACAGTTCTGAGGGGTCTGTGCATCTACAGAGCTCTCAGTAACTGCTTAGGCTGTTGCCCACAGTTTGATTGCTGCGCTGTTTCCTTACTGGAACAGCATGTGCAGTCATAACAAAACCCAAATGTGTCTGTTTGCCGCTCATTCAGCTCTCCGGAGCTATGCTGGGTTAGTTTCATAGCCCTTCAGCACCAAGGTGTAACGGTAGGATCTGTCTGTGGGCATAATTCTTAATTACTATCCTATGGTACTCTGTGAGAGATTTGGTGAGTGCAGTGGCCCTGGTTAATACCTCAGGCAGGAGTTAACGCAGCCACCTCACTGGAATTAATGAAATATGGTGGCTCCATGCATGCTTATCATGTTTTGGTTGTGAGGCTGCTGCCTCCAGAGCACTGGCACTTGCTGGGTGGTACATGCAGGCCCCCTCCTTGCACTGGTGAGTCTCCAAGGCCTGACCTTGCCCCTTAGAGCAGTGTTGTTTTGTCTCCAAGCTGCTGCTGTGCTGCTGCGCTACTTGTCCCTGTTTTTGTTTTGACTTACGGCTCAGAGTGAGCAATTGAACATTCCCTCAGCCACAGACAAGTCTTGGAGTTGGGGCTCAGCAGTTCCAGCTGTGTCAAACATACCCTCACTTTCCCGTGCTGTCCTTCCAGGTACATTGAGAAGTCAGCAGAGGAGCTGGATGAGGAGGTGGAGTACGACATGGATGAAGAGGATTACATCTGGCTGGACATCATGAATGAGAGGCGGAAGAACGARGGCGTGAGTCCTATTCCCCAGGAGATCTTTGAATACCTGATGGACCGGCTAGAGAAGGAATCCTATTTTGAGAGCCACAACAAGGGGGACCCAAACGCCTTGGTGGATGAGGATGCCGTCTGCTGCATTTGCAACGATGGGGAGTGTCAGAACAGCAATGTCATCCTCTTCTGCGACATGTGCAACCTGGCTGTGCACCAGGAGTGCTATGGAGTGCCCTATATCCCCGAGGGACAGTGGCTCTGCAGACGGTGCCTGCAGTCACCCTCACGCGCTGTGGACTGCGCCCTCTGCCCAAACAAGGGGGGGGCCTTCAAGCAGACGGACGATGGGCGCTGGGCACAYGTGGTCTGTGCCCTCTGGATCCCAGAGGTGTGCTTTGCCAACACCGTCTTCCTGGAGCCCATCGACAGCATCGAGCACATCCCGCCCGCACGCTGGAAGCTGACCTGTTACATTTGTAAGCAGCGTGGTTCTGGGGCTTGCATCCAGTGCCACAAAGCCAACTGCTACACTGCCTTCCATGTCACCTGTGCCCAGCAGGCCGGGCTGTACATGAAGATGGAGCCCGTCCGGGAGACGGGTGCCAATGGAACCTCCTTCAGTGTGCGCAAAACTGCCTACTGCGATATCCATACACCACCAGGCTCTGTGCGCAGGCTTCCCGCCCTGTCCCACAGCGAGGGGGAGGAGGAGGATGAGGAGGAAGAGGAGGAGGGGAAGGGCTGGAGCTCTGAGAAAGTCAAAAAAGCAAAGGCCAAGTCTAGGATCAAGATGAAGAAGGCACGGAAGATCCTGGCAGAGAAACGAGCTGCAGCACCCGTGGTTTCTGTGCCCTGCATCCCCCCCCACAGGTACAGCCTGCCACCCTCCCCAGAGTGGGGAGAAATTTCTCCTTTTCTCCMTGCCTTGTGTCCTGTTTTCCATGTCAGCATTATCCTGTTCCTCTCCTTAGCTGTTTGCACAGGTACTTCTCGCTTTGTTATCGCAGAGGGCTGCGGTGGTTTCCTCTGTGAGTCCTGCAGAGAGGCAGAGCCATGCACTGCCCAGGTGTCTGCGCCCTCGGCAGGGCAGGAAATAGTGCTGTAGTTTAACAGCAGAGAGTGAACTTGGCCGGATGCATCACGAAGCAGCTGGGGGTTCCCAGCACTCCTTTCCTGTTGTGCTGACCTCAGGCACTGGAGTAAAYGAGGCAGGGAGGAGGGAATTACTCTCCTTTCTGCCGAGGTCTGTTTTCTCCTGAGGCTGTGTCAGGCAAAAGACAGAAGGGTGAAGCGATTCCAGCCTGGGAAATGGGCTAATYCCAGGGTTATTTTGGCTCTGGAGCAGAGAGGTCTGGAACTGGGATCCCTGTGCTCTGCTGAGCAGAGCTCATCCATCCCAGCAGCCACGTACTCCTTGCTGTGCTTCCTCCGTGTTCTGTGCCAGGCACAGCAACAGCTGCTTCTTCTCAGTGCTGCCTGTTGGAGTGGGGCCGGGCGGCTGTGGGTGCTGAAAGCTGCCTGTGAGGAGGGGTGGCTGGAGAGCACCAGGACTCCTGCCTGCCAAGGAACACAGCAGCCCTAAGGCTGGCTCCCCAGCACGAGGCCTTGCGAGGGGTTGTGTTTCTGTCACATTCCAAACCCGTGGTTTCATGGGAAGGTACAAATACCCTGTAGTTACAGGTGCAACTGCTTTGTGTCTTGCTCTTGATAGATTGTTGGGCTGGCATGCAAATCCCAAATGAAGAGCATCTAAGAGCCTTGCCAGAATTTGTCAGTGTATAACTGGGTGTCCTCAGAAGTGTGTAAAAGCATGTAAGGGCATCCTAGGATGTTTTTGGATCCCATTGTCACCCTGCAGCAGGCGACACACAGCTGAAGCACAGCTTGGGCATGAAARCGTTTGCTTT